AGCACAAATCACTAATTGATCTTAAAAGTAACTTGAATGCATTTTTCCAAATTTAGATCTGAATTGCCATTTCACAGATATGAATCCAACCTGCCTCCAGAGTAGTAATCACAGCAGGTTCTGTTGCCGAAGTTCTCTTCCCAGGGCCATCTTTTTCACCCTGTGAGCAGGGTTGAAAGTGGTTCTGGAAAAGTATAGGAAAACTGTATCAAACTTTCAGGGCAGGGGGGCATTACACTGCAGCTAACTTGTGCTTTTTCTCTAGTTTCTCCTAGTTCATATAAAGCTTGCCATGCTGGGGCTGTTAGTCATTATAAGGGAAAGTTAATGTCAGTATGGAGAAAAAACATACCTGTCATGTAGTACAGGGGGAAAAATATTCTACTTTTTTTTTTTTTTTTAAACCATTTACCACCTTGGATGAGGAACAGAAAATGTACATGTATTGTATTAGTTTGAGACATTATGTTCCACATGGGCAAAATCATGGACAGAAAAAATGGAATTTGTCCCTTGTGCTTATTAATACCAGTTAACACACTATGTGCTCCTAACCTGTGAAATGTTTGTCGCAAGTACTGTACCAAATTCCCTTGTTAACTTAAAATGAATTTCTTGGGATCTTTCATAAATAAAACAAGCTGGAAAAGCCTCTGCATGTTTGGAAATATATATACTCTTATATTTGATGGGGTCAATTTGTTACTTAAATATATCAACCATAATGGGCGATTAATAGCTTCTTTTGCATATTTTTCACGTACTAGGGGAAATACCTCTTTAAAAAAGGTTCTGGAATTTAAGGCATGGCCAATCAAGAGGAAAAGCAGGACTTCCCCACAGTTGTATGGATATACAAGTAAACTATGGTGATATTCTGAAAGCTTTCTATAAGAATATCTATCATAGCAAATATATAAACCCAAATGTGACAATACGTTACTAAAAAGAGATTCCCCAACAATTCACACACAGCCCTGAGAATTTCACAGGTATCGTGTCACAGAGTCAGTCAGACCTTCCAAACAGAGGGTGACACCAAATGATGCACCTTTAGTCTCAATTCTTTTGACAAAGTGCACAGGCAAAAAACTATTAACAAACAAACTCACAGAAAACTGCAGTTTTAATTTTACTAATCAAGATCAACACATTTTAAGTCTATGAATAATATTTATACTGTACCTGGTTATTTCTTCCTTAAGTTTGCATGGATCTTCTGCATAGAATTTAACACCAAAATATAGAGTATATGGTGGTCCAGCTAGGTAAAAGAAAGAACAGTTATCTTTTGCACTGAAAAAGGTCTACTGAAAAGCCCACTTCTCTATTTTAGGATTTTATTCTCCTGAGAGTCACCATAGAATCCATGCATTTTTCATGTAAAATCAAAGTTAAAGTTCCAGTAAATGTTATAGAATCTCTGGCTCTTTTCCCTTTATATGGCATAAAACTTCTGTTTGTAAAGGCTTTGGGTGTTTCTTATGTTTTGCTTTGCTCCCAGTTCCTTTGGATTGATTGCTACTTGCCTGTCTGTTCAGCAGTTTTATTTGCTCTGAAGGTTTACATTTTGGCTTTCACTTCTATTCTACTTTGTATTTTGATGCAGGGAGGATGCTTTTCTCATTTGTTTTTGGCCTTCACTTCTTTATAAATGTGTAAGAATAAAATCATATATCCATCAAGAATATGTTATTCCTGTTACCATGTGCCAATGTTATTTTTTAATCCTTCCTATGCTACCAAAGACTGAATTGAATATTTCAATTAGGCTTAATTTATCTAGTCAGAAATTGTAAACCTATTTGCCAGCTCAATTTTTAAAAAGCGGTTTATTCCTTCAGTAAGATCCAGTGAACCCTATCCTATCCTTATTGTTATGGCCATATTTATCTCTATGCATACATCCACTTTTATCAAAGGCTTTTTCCATTTTTACAACAGACTTCAACTTTCCTTTTGAAGTACTATTATTAACCTTACTTAACAATATTGCAAACAGAATCTTTGCCTAGGAGGTTTAAAGAATGACACCAACATTCAAAAAAACTATGCAGGTTATTCCTAATAATATTTTTTTTTCCATTTTCAGAAGGCAAAAGTCATCTGGTTAAAAAGACAGGAAGGTCAAAGCTAATCCAAATCTCAAATTATACAGATTTCTAGACACTATATCACCTAGATGTTTCAGTACTTTTATGATTCTCAAGTAATAGTTTAATCACAAAAATATGCTTGAGTAAGAAAAGGCAGTTACACTCAGTATGTGCAATTTTGATACAGCTATGAACTAAAATATTTGAGCCATCTCAAGAGACCATGAATCAAAGGCCCACCACTCTGCATGTAGGATGTCCTCTGTTTCTCTTCACTGTTTATCAAGTTCAAATGAAATACATACTATTTATCAATTCCTTATGTTCCGCAAGTGTCTTTGCAGGATCCAGCCAGTACTGTGAGAATAGATAATTACGGCAATTAGTCGTTTAACATGACAAACGCTTAAAGATTAACTTATATTTATTTTTATATTAATAATCTTTGTTCTCAAATGCCAAAAGTGAAATGTTATCATCTTTTCTTTTGGTACAACACAAAAACCAGACGAACTACCTGCCAGTGGTTAAATTAGTATAAAACTGAAGTGTTCAGAAAGCCAAGTCTATAACAGTAAAAAAAAACCAAAAAACCACTAAACCTATAATGCAGAATTTCCTGATCAGATAAACATGTCACTACATGTCAAGTGCAGTGTTTCTCTGACAGGTTGTGATATCCTGTTCAGAAAAAGCTCTCCTACTTTACACTAGGGCAAACTGGGCCCTAAAGGAAAATCTCTTAAAACATATATTGCTGTTTTCCAAACTACCTTGTCTGTTATATCTAGAATACTACTGTGCAACTTCACAGTCTCCTTGACGGATCAACAGGCAGAGCCTCTGGAATGCTGACATAGGGACAAGCACAATGATGATAGTTTATAAAGATAAGAAAGATGGGAGAAAATGGGCTTGTTTAGTCTAGAAAAGAAAAGACAGGTGGGGAGATATGGTAGAAGTCTTCTAATACGTAAAAAGGCTTTTATGTAGACGACAGTTCTCCATGGAAGATGGGACAAAAAAACCCCAGTATAATCTGCTACAAAGGAAATTTAAATCAGATTTTAGAAACAAATTTCTAACTACAGGGGAGGTGAAACACTAGAACAATCTATCTAATGAGGGACTTTCAATTAAGAGTTCTAAGACCAGCTTCAGCAAATATCTAGCAGAGGTTCTCTAGATCTATTTGATTCTGTTTCTTTGCAGGGAGATTGGCTAAAAGATTCCTGCGCTCCCTTCCAGCCAGATGTTCCTATGATTCAATTGTGATTCATCTGGAAAAACATACAGGTGCAATCCTTGCTGCTGGCTCCCAAACCACTTTGGATTTCACTTTTCCTAAGCAGAAAGCGCATACATCATCCTGTGACCTTTCTCCCTTGGTCATCTCCTCAGTTAGATATCCTCCCCTTCTGGGAGGAGTCACACCCTTTAGGACTCTCTGGCACACACAGAGGATTCTTCAGGAGTCTTTTTTTTCTTTAGGAGCTTTCTGCCACACATGCACACCAAGCCAATATAGGGAATGTGAAACCAGGCTAACGCAGACAGATGACACTACCACTGGGCAGGCTCACCCATTGTAAAAAATGCTCTAAGGCCCCAGAACAACTAGGATTAAGAATGGACTGTAAGGTTAGTAGCACACTCCTGACATTGCACTAAGACAGCTAGATGCATTACAGCTGTTTCAGGGCATAGCACAAGTAGAAGAGGACGCCATGCTGCACTGAAGCATCCCCTAGCACATTCTTTTTACAGTGTTGATGCGTCTTTAGGATCCTATGCAGAACTGTAATGAGTGCTGCTTATGAGGCTCTATTGTTCTTCCTGGTCAATAAATGTAATTGGGAGTACAGCAGGAGTAGGCAATCATTTTGGGTGGAGGGCCACTTACTGAGTTTTGGTGAACTGTCGAAGGCCATAAGGGTAGCACCTTGACAGGTGTTCCACCCTGGTCACCATCTTGGGACCAGAAGTCCTACCCCCTGACCTTTGCCACTGGAAATGCTCCTTTTGAGAGGGAACTTTTCCAACTTGCAACAAGAAAAAAAAAAACAAAACAAAACAAATTGTATGCTAAAAATCAAACATCTACTGTAACATATTTTAATTTTATTTTTAAAAATATTTTTGTTCCAATTTGTGTGTGTTTGCATAGTGTATATAGAGGCGATTGCATAATAGCTCAAAATAAAGTCTTACTCTTGTATATTGGGGGGGGTGGTAGGGCTAAGGATTTGTGACTTTCATCTGGTTTGCATAAGAGCTGCAAAACACTCTTCAGTTAAGATCCCCGGTACACAGCTTCCACCATCCATTTATTCTATTTCAAACCACAAAGCAAAATTGAACATCCATTTCCAGAATCTAAGATAGAATATGAACTGTTAAGCAATTTACCAGAACAAGATCTCATACTGCAATTGTAAAATATTTGTAATTAGCAGTATTAAATATTAACTGGTCACAGATAATAGTTCTTGGAATACAATGTTATAATAATATTATGTATAATACTAATAATAATACTATTATTTGCTTCATTAATTAACCAACAGTTTAAGCCCACAATGCAATCTTGGCCTGCATAAAAGCAAAAAAAGGAAAGTGGAAAAAGTTTTCTAAAACCTAAGACTAATGGGAATGTTATCATTTAAAAAAAAAAACCCAAAAAACCCCCATGTTTGAAATGAAGAGTTGCTTTGTTTGGATATAAGCTTTCTTTTAGCTTGTTTGTGAACAAAAAGTGTTGCTACATTGTTTTAGTACTTAAAAATCAAATCGCAAAACTGACTTCAAACAAAAATAAAACAGGCAAAATAATTTTTATTGTCCATATTGAGTGAAATGGAAACAGTAAATAAATTATGCTGGTAGCAAAAAGTAAAAAAACTTAAGAATCATGTAAATTACGGCTTGCAAACACTTACATATATGTAAGAAAAAAGATTGTTTGTGCCAATAAGTACTGTAAAACCTATATGATCATAGGAAACCGGGGCTGGAAGGGACCTCACAAGGTCACCCAGTCCAGCCCACTGCTCAAGGCAGGATCATTCCTGACTAAGCCATCCCAGCCAAACCAACTGTCCCACTCATAGGGATTTTCAGGACTAGGCTCTAAACTTGATATCAGTAGCACAGGGAAAGGTATTCAGTTTGGTTACAGTTTATAATATATTTTTTGATGGAGAACTATAATCATTTCAACCTGTGGTGTTGGCTTATATTTCAATTTTTCAAATAATAACAACAAAACAAAAAATAGAAGAATTTGCAAGCATCTGAACCATTGCTAATAAAATTTACTGTGTTAGGGAAATGATACTAGACAGTGAAATCTGCCCTCTCGGTTTTGGGCCAACTAGGAGTAGCACTTATTACAATATTACAAATAAACAAAAACAGAAAAAGAACAAAGGTTAAAACACAGCTTTTGAAGAAAGAAGTCTCAGATACATCCTCAAGTTTGGCCATTTAGCTGTCCCTTTTCTTAAACCAGGGAATTATCTAGATGATGGATGGAGAAGTCTCTTATCTGCCCACTAAAGCATAATTATATAATACTACCTCAGCAAGAGACATGTCAAAGAAAATTTTCCTTTCATTGTGTCAAGAGATCCATTTGGTCTGCAGAATTTCATAAGCAGAAAGTTTAATTAAGCAAAAAAACAAAATTTATTTTTTAAAAAGCATTGCAGACAATTGATTGAATATGGTAATAGCTGGTTGAATGGTGTAACAGGGGACCCTAACCCCGTTACTGAGCCAAGGGAAAGGAAAAATAGAGGGGCAGGGACCAAAGCAGCTAGGGTGAAATAGAGGGACCAAACTCAGGAAACCAGGGTCCTACCTCTTCAAGGATAGGTACAGCCATTCAATAAGTCTGAGCCAGAATCAAAGTTATGCAGTTTTCTGTAAGTGGCATAGTTTAGATCTGTAGTGACCTCACCCTTGGTGGGGGGGGGGCAAATCTTACACCAGATTCTGCCATTTTTAAACCAGTCGATGTGAGCTGAACTTTTGCTTTGTTAGGGGTTGGACCAATTTTGTGGGTTGAATTTCTGTTCTGTTATGGGTACAGACCAGCTTCTGATCACTTACACCAGTAAAAATGTAATGTTTGTACCTGGCCTAAGAAAACAGAGCAGCAGAAACCACAGTTTCATAGTTTCTAGGGTCGGAAGGGACCTGAGCAGATCATCTAGTCCGACCCCCTGCCATGGCAGGAAAGGGTACTGGGGTCAAACGACTCCAGCAAGGTGTTCATCTAACCTCCTCTTAAA